TCAGCAGAGTTTGTAATTTTGAGTGGTTCCGCCGGGTCCCATAGCCGCCACGTCTTGCTGGTTGTATTGTATCCCACCATGTAAATACTTCTTGGCCCTGGCAGAAAACTTATCGTTTCGCGAGCGAGCTTCTACGTGTTTAAACGCTACAGACCCCCACTCATGCATGTGCTTCAAGCTGCCGAGTGGTTTGTCCTCCCAAACCTCAAGTGGTGCTTTGCCGTCCAGGACGTCAGTAGGTGTGCGGTTCTTGATGTAAATGGCGGCCTTCACGGCTTCCGCCCACAGTTGACGCGGTAGGTGCGGAGCTCCAAGCATGAGACTACGTGCTGCACCGATGACGGTCCCGAAACCGCGTTCGGCGACAGCATTCCCTTGAGGGACGTACGGGGGGCTTGTCTCCACAGCGATCCCGAAGGACCGACACATTGCTAAGAACCTACCCTTGAAGTCGGCTGCGCCATCGCAATGGATTTTCCCGATGCAGATGCCCTCGGGATCGGCGACTTCTTTAATCAGTGTTTCGAGCGCGTCAGTCACTCCATCCTTTGTCTTCAGGGGAATGCCCCACCGCATGCGAGATTTATCGTCGGTGAACATTACGATATGCTGACATCCGCTATACGATGGCACACCATGTTTTCCCCACAGGTCGAGATGCATAAGCATCATTCGCGTCAGTGAACGGGCGCGGCCAACCGGGGGGTGACTCGCCTTCTTGCTTTTGGATACATCGCACACTTCGCAGTCACCTGGTTGAATGTTGGTGATGAACTTGATGCCGGTGCCTTCCTTATCCGAGAGCTGCTTCAGGGCGCGCGCATTGCAATGTCCCATCCTCCGGTGCCAGACACCGGCATCGGTATCGGCACGGAAAACCAGCGGAGAACTAGGCAGGTCGAGATTCAGGTCGTCCAGGATGAGATTCACGACGTACATTCGAGGCACCTCTGCTGTTGATATGGGGAAAGACAGGTTCCGGCTTCGCAGGGCCGGAGGTGCCGAAAGTAGATCCGTCTTCACCCCCTTCTCATCCAACGCTCCGACAGAAAATATGTTTGCTCCAAGATCCCGCACAAGCAGAACCTCCAATTCTATCGGGACGGGTTGACCTTTGTCATTCTTGAGTTTGAACTTCAGCGTACCTTTCTTGGTGGCGCTGGATGTGCCGCACGAACCCTTGATGCGGACGTCGCAGTCAACCAAGTCGACTACATGTTGTGAGACTGGGCTCTCGCCGCTTACCATGTGTCCCGAAGCGGCGGTGTCGATGAACACCCTCGTATGCTCGGCGGGCGCTGTCTTGTCCACTGCACGAAAAACGTTGGTGTACGCGACCAGCTCCTCATGCTGTATCGCGGCAGGCGGGTCCATTTCCTGCTCGTAGGAGGCAGCAGGCTCCTCGGTTTCCTCTGCTGTGGCAGGCGCAATCGGCACCTGCAATGGGACAGCACGTTCCAACAATGGTAGCGAAGCTGTGGCAGGCGCAGCCAACACCTGCCCTACATTGACATCGGACGCCTCCTCAGGGGTCGATGCAGCAGGCGCAAACGGCACCTGCTCGGGATCGCCTATGGCGATCTCGAACGATTCCAGCGTGAGGTCGACCTCGCGCGCGTGCGTGAGCCACGCCTGTGTCGTGGCTTCCGCGATCGTGTTGACCTGCTGCTGCTGCTGCGGTTGCTGTTGTTCACGGTTCGAAAACCGCGTGGCATTGGAGGCGCGAAGCGGGCAGTTCGTCCAGGTGTGTTCCGTAGAATTGTGACAGTAACTGCATAAGCCGTCCCTGTCGTACCCGCGTCTTTGCTGTGAGTGGTTTGGCCGTCCAGAGGGCCGGTTGTCGGAAGACGCACCACCAGCTCCGTTGCCAGAAGTTGCGCCGCCATGGTTCTGGTCGTTGCTGTTGTTCCCCCTCGACGACCCGTTGTTACGGTTCGACGAGTTGTTCCAGCTGCCACGTCCGCGTCCACCGCGCTGCGCGCGTCCACGACCATGATGACCGCCGCCCTTACGGAAAGAACGCGCTCCACCGTGTGTGACGGTATTCAGCGCACGGCTGCTGCTTCCGGACGCGTTCTTCGAGGCAACTTTACCACGAATGTGCATCGCGTGGAACGAAGTGGCTCGGTCGGCGACCTCCTCGAAGGACAAGACGCTCCCAGCAGCCTGGCCGCACAGCAGCCCTGTCTTGAACTCTTTGTAGTGGTCGTCCGGCAGTGCTTTCAGGAAAGCGAACGTCTTTCGGTGGTCAGCCACCGTGTCGTTATACACGGCTAGCTCCGTGCAGATCCGGCGCATGTCTTGAATAACATTGGCCGGATCAAAGTCGTGGTCCGCAGTAACTGCCAAAGATATGAACTTCTCGTGCAGCTCCTGCGTACGGTATACCCCAGCGGCCTGGTACTTTCGTTCCAGGGCGAGGAATGCTCCACGACCGTCTCCGTTGTAGGAAGACCCGATAGGCGCGTATGCCTGCACAGTCTGTGAGGCCGCGCTCTGGTAGCCCCCGGTTTCAGATGTAGCGAGCATCAGCCGGGTAAAGATCTGTCCGTTCTTGTCCTGGTATCCTTCCAGGGCAGTTTGGTATGCCAAAGTCTGGTTTGGCGTAGCGCTTGGTCCAGGATCCGTAGGGGCTTTCTCCACTCCCAACAGAACCTTGTGCAGCTTGTCCTCCATAAATAAGGAGGTCTGCAGAGTTCGCCAGCCGACGTAGTCGCCTGGGTCACCACTGAACTTGGCGAATCCTCTTCGGATCTCGCCTGACGAGCCGGTAGCCATGCTTACCGACGCTTGTGACTCTGGTGTACTAGCTCGAGCAACTCGAGGCTCAAAACCTGTTGAGGCAACAGCACTGTCACTGCAGTTGCTGTACAGCTATTCCTTCAGCTGTGGCTACAAAGTAGCTGGCATGTGATGCGAGGTTAGGTAGGCAAACACACAGAGTGATATTATTATCCACACAGACGCCCAAGCTGTCTTCACCTGACGGTTACAGACTTGGCAACGCCTTCACAATACCGCATAAACCCATGCAGTAGAATAGAGTCGTTCTTGTACCGCAATTACTCCAAAGTAGATCCGTCTTCACCCCCTTCTATCCAACAGTATGCATCGGCACCGCGTGTTGCTTCCTTGCCTTGAGTCTGCGGCATAGTCGTAATTTGAGCGAGAGGT